GTACTAAAAACATGTACTGTTTTTAACAAACTAATAATATACATTAGATAATATGAAGATCAGAATTATGAAGGTGGCCTATAAGTTTTAAGCGGAAAGCATTATTAGACGGTGAAAATATTCTCAGTTCAGTAGGCAAATAATTCCATAAACGGGCAACTCGTATTACAAAAGATCTCTCAAAAGTAGAATGGTATATTCTAGGTATAAATATCTGAGTATTTCTCGAGGACATAGCAAATCTAAACATATTCTTTAATAAAGCAGGTACACCTGTTTTCACAATTTTATGAAAAGAGCATAACACCCTACAATTAACAAACCGTTCAAAGTTAATTCCCAAGAAAATATCCACATAGTCAGATATATGCTGCCCAAGTCTAACTCCAAAGACAAAGCGGGTAATGGAATTAACCACACGTTTTAACTTCAAGGACACACGTTCTATTGTGCCAGACATAACCTCCAAGCCATAATAAATATGAGGCATCAGTAGAGCATAAGCAATTTTCCTTTTGACCCAGATCGGAAGAGAAAGATTCGTAGAATATAACCTGCGGATAATACTATACACTTTCCTTTGAACAAAGTCAACATGTGTGTCAAATAAAAGTTTATCATCAACAAATAAACCTAAAATTTTATGACAATTTACAATAGCAACTCTATCTCTATTAAGAAAAATATTAAGCTGAGATGAGAAATTGCCAAAGCATATGGCTCTAGTTTTCACAGGATTGGTTACCAGCATGTTATCAAAACACCACTGTTCGAAACGAGCTAGGCAATCATTAATTTCCGTCTCGAATAATATCTGCGAGTCATAAACATTACTAAAGACAAGGAAGACATCATCAGCAAACAAGAGCAATTTGCAGTTCAAGTCCGAAAAGCATTCCTTGAGACTATTCACATATAGCACAAACAGCAAAGGACCTAAGACAGAACCCTGTGGTACACCACATGTAAGAGACAGCACATTTGACGATTTTCCATTAAGAACAACAAATTGGCTTCTATCATGCAAATAAGACTCAACAAGCCTACAAGCGGTTGCAGAAAAATTAAACTCAGAATTAAGTTTATGTACCAAATATACATGAGAAATAGAGTTAAATGCTTTCGTAAGATCCAATGACACAACTACACTGTTAATGTTTACATTTGCATAACCTGTTGTATTGTAATTCTTTCTGAACGCAAACTGTCCATTATAAATGAGAGGGCTAACATGTGCTAGTATTTGGTCCTTCATAACATGTTCACAAATTTTCGACAACACAGGGAGAATAGATATCGGCCTCAGATCTTCAGGACCATTTACAAAATTACGCTTAGGCAATGGAACTATCCGCGCTCTCTTCCACTGCGATGGAAACACGGAAGAAGTGAGCACAGAATTAATCAAATCCAGAAGAAAGTCTGAGATATATGGAAAAATAAGTTTAAGAAAATCAATTGTTATTCCATCAACACCAATAGACTTCGATTTAATTCGATTTAGGATCATAAAAATATCATTGACAAAGACACAGTTAAAAGAAAAACTATTTTCAGGTTCATCTATAGCATTGAAATCAAAATAATTAGAAAGCGAATTAGTACAAGCAAACGACATATTCACAACATCAAGGTCACAAGCAATGTCATCATCACCCATAAGTCCAGATCCTCTCAGAAACCTCCAAAGAGCAGTTGAGCCCATAGTATTGAATTTTTTGGAATAATATCTTCTTCTCTCACGTCGAATAACAGATTTCACCTTGTTTCGATATTTGCAAAAAGCTTTCCAATTATCCGCGGTTCTATCTCGCTGGTAGGTTCTAAACGCAAAATCCCGAAGAGACCGAGCAAAAGTAATGTGATTAGCATTGATCCAATCATCATCACAACGAATTTTCCGCCGAACTACAGGTACAAACTGAAATAAATCGAGAATAAGAGACTATATAACTGAACACTTAACATCAACATCAACGACATACAACTCATTTAAATCAAACGCAGATAAATATGAAAAAAAATTTTCCCAGTCTATATTTCGGTAGTCATGATATTCAACATAATGGCAAGATGTTCTTACACTCATATCAAGCGAAGCAAAAATGAGCGAGTGATCCGAGATTGCAGGGCAAATTACCTGATCAGAACAATGGACCATAGAACAATCACTGACTAACATAAAATCTATCAAAGAAGACGAACCATGAGAAACATTATAGTGGGTCGGTTTAGAATTGTGCAAAACCGACAAATTCAATCTGAAACACACTGAACGAACTGCCGACGACTTCTGCAAATCAAATAAATTACAATTAAAATCACCAACAACAACTATTTTAAAGTACCTAGAAAACAACTCAGAGTGAAGTTCCTCAAATGCAGCAAAGTCACCAGGAGGGGGTAGATACACTACACCGAATAATATTTTCATATCTCCAGAAAGCAATTCAACAAATAGCGACTCACATACACCTGCCTCCATACATTTAAACACAATTCGATGTGATATTCCATTCGAAATATATATTCCAACTCCACCTCCCCTTGCATTGCTACGATCATGCCTCAGAAATTCATACCCAGGTATTTTATCAACTCGACTTGAAACTTCCGTTTTGAGCCACGTCTCAGAAACACCAAGAATATTTACACGAGATCCACACAAAATAGACTTAAGTTCTAACAACTTTGTAGAATTAGTAGAAGGGCGTATACTTCGGCAATTCAAGTGAGCAACATTAAGCTTTCCACTGCATGATTCTAAAACCGAGTTTATATATCTATTGTTGCTAATCACTGGTCCCATATTTATATTAGAAGACATCATAAATCAAGAAGGCAGTTATAGTGGGGAACCATATATATGTAAATAATTCATTAATATGCTTTAACAATTCAAGATTCATTAAAATCACAACTTTTTAAATACAGCTGATCAAAAAAATAGAAAATGAGACCATTACACTGAGATCTATTGAAAAAATAATATTCAAAACAAACAAAACATACGAAATAAAATACGTGAACATGCAAAAATTCAATTATGTTCTCTGCTTTCATCAGCAAGCAAGGCCTCACATTGAACAGCATCATAGGTAACACACTTGCCATCAGTGAACATAAGCCAAGCCCTAAGTTTGTCAGTATTGAGAACTTTGAACTTCGTTATAACCTTTCGCTGACGAAGTTTCTTACAAATGGCATTCAAATGAGGAGCCGCTGGAGTAAAATGATCATTGAGATACACACGATTGCTTAAGTCACTGCAAGCAACATCCAATACATCAGAAACTTTAAGGTTACGAGTTTTAAAGTACTCCCTCATCAGACAACCTCTTTTCGATACCTTATTAAACTTAACTAGTACTTGCTTTTTTCTGTTAATATAGCAGACTTGGTTGATGTCGAGGCTAGTAATTTCCACCTTAAAGAAAGAGCCAATTGCAATAACTGGTGCTTCCAAGTCTTCCAACCCCTCAGGTAAACCTCCAATCAAAATATCAGATCGGTTCAGGCGCTTGTGTAAAATATTGTCCTCATTCTCAAGTGCTACGAATTTGGTTGCAGCAGACCTTTCAACTCGTTGAACATTTTCAGCACACTTTTGGATATAAGATCGCATCTCGGAAACACAGGAGCTTACTTCATTCTTTATATCCTCCAGAACCGTTTTAAGAGCACTCTGCTGGCTTTCATAACTGAGTACAAAACGATCCAACTTCTCATTCAAACTATTTATCTTGTCAATAACACCAGAAGTACTGCAATTTTCACTAAGATTGGGTTCACAAGAGGCACAGATGTAGGCAAAGGCCTTAACCGATCTAAGAACTCCAAGATATTGCTCATCAGTACCAGCACATGACATATGAAACCAACATTTACAGGCTTTACATAAAATGCTGGATCGTGTCTTTGTAATGGATTCCTCACAAGATTTACATTTAACAATTTTGTTAACAGGCATAACAACTTCAGCGAGTAAATAGAATAAATATGTAAGAAAGGCAACGGCAATTACAGCAGCAAGCAACAACAGCAACACAGCAATATTCCGCAATCTTAATCCAAAATCAATTAGGCATAAAACTTCAAATTCGAAGAAATTGCAATATATCCACGTTAATTTTATTAAGTCCAACGTATAGACCACGGTTTATTTGTTTATAAACAAACGTAAACAGCAATATAAACAAAATGATCAGCTATTTTTTTTTTTTTTTTTTTTTTTTGAGTCACCATTTGTCAGTAGGGTTGAGATTTCAAACTGGTTTTCGAAATACGTACAAAAAAATTAAAAGAAAAAAGAGTTGGACATTTAAAATTTGGTCTTAACATCACTTTTTGCCCCTGGGTTTAATACATTGAGGTTAATTTGAAAATACATTCTACAAACCTACGAAAAGTACTAAATGGTATTAAGTTGGTTTATTAAAAGGGGAATAGAGCTCGAAATCAGAAATTTGTAATAAAAAGTACAAAAATGCTCTAAATTTGCTACCATTTGAAATTATGTGAAATTTTAAGATTTAGTTTGGAAAGTAGGGTGATATAAGGAGGTTGTTGTGGAAATGTGTACTAATGTGTAATGTGTGTAAAAAACGGAACTAATTTTTGTATAATTTAGTTTTGGGCCAAATGGGATATATGGACTACCCAATATCTCTCTAAAAGTATGTCGTGTGGTACTATTTACATTAAATTACATTACATTTATTTATTTATTTTTTTTTTTTTTGTGTTACACAGTGCGTTTATACAAAGTTCATTAGAATACAAACATTTGAAGTTTATTGTTCTTTTTATCTTTAATTTTTTTATTTTATCTAAAAAAAAAAACAAAGCCTTGTTGATTTTACTCCAAAAAAAAAAATTTCTTTAGGTGCCTTGGATGGTAATTTCATATCTACTGATAACACTATTCCCCCCGCAAACAACCTGACCACGAGTCCCACTAGTACTACATGAAACGCGACATCTAATCTCATACCATTCCACAATCTCATCTACATATCTAATACCAACTACAATTGTCTCCATTGTGTACATTATGCATTGCACAGCACTTCTCCGCTCCTCCCCGTCAACATCCAAACATTTGCTCCAGATGAGTGACAACAAATCTTTCTGTCTATAAAGTCGATGCAGTGCACCCATAAAAGTTCTCTATGCTGCTGACTGACTGGCTGGGTGGTTGACTGACTGCTAGCTTGCTGCAGCCAACAAAACGTCTGTCTAACAGGGCTAACTAACTAAAAAACATAAGGAGCGGGGAGGAGGAGTAGCAGCAGCAGTATGCCAGGCGACAGTAGCTAACTGTATTCCTCTTCTCACTTAGTTACTTGCAGCGGTATTTTCTTCTCAGTTAATCAGTTAGTAATGACAGCCCTGCGAACAAAGCCAGTTTAAAGGCGGAACTGGACGGGAAAATTAAAAATCTATAAAAAAAATTATTATTTTTAAAAAAATTAAAAAAAATAATAATAACAAATATTTTCCTTTAACCAACGTGTGAGTGTCGGAGTGTTTGAAAAATCAAAATCACAGAACCAATTAATAACCACTTAAAATGGGTCAAGAAGATCAAGACTTGCTTATCGACGAAACGACTCGAAAGCGCACAGCAGCATCTGTCGAAAATATCAACAATGTGAGTAAAAATTGTGAAATTATCTGCCCAGACGTTTTCGGATTTGCTTGAGCGATAATTCTTATCTTTAGAAATAAGTGAATGAAGAAAAAAAGTGTTTAAATAGAATTTTTGAAACGCCCTTTACTCCGTTGCCTTCTTTGAAATGTAAGCGGCTAATACAATCGATGGCGCCCTTATTCTCAATTGTGGTTTGCGGTATCGAGTTACAGCATCGAACACCTATAGACCAAGTTACAAAAATATGTATCTTTTTTTAATTAGCTGAAAAAAGAAAAATAATTTACATACAAACATAGACGTTCCGTAATAAAATAAAATACCTCACTCCATCAAGTACCCTCCCCACAAGGTGTCAACATTTTGAAAAATTGTAACTCTTACAAAATGTGATGCAATTATCCGATTGTCTTCAAATTACACACATCACAATATTTTTATTAACCCAAGGTCTGGCTGGTGTAAAGATGGAATATATCGGTCCACTCCTTCTGGTACCTCCCCCACAAAGGGTCTAAATTTTGAATATCCATGAAGCTCATATAACTAGAAATTAACATTCGATTCCATTCAGACTTGTCACAACTCAATATTTCCATCAACTCTATATCTGTTATAAAGATGGTAGAGATCAGATCATTCCTTCTGGTACCTCCCCCACAAAGGGTTAATGTTTTGAAAAACCAAAACGATCATAAACTCCGTAATAAGCTTCCGGTTCTATTCATATTTCACACATCCTATTATTTCTACTAACACAAGATATGCTATGTAGATGGGATAAATCGATCCACTCCTTCTGGCACCTTCCCCACAAAGGGTCAGAATTTGGAATAACCATGAAGCTCATAAATCGTGAAACTATCATTTGATTCCATTCAGACTTAGTACATCTCAATATTTTTTTGACCAGTTTTTCTGATGCCCCCCCAAATAGTGTTTAAAATTTTGAAAAACAAAACGCTCAAAAAGTGACGTTAGCTTCCAACTCCCTTCAAATTTCACACATACAAACATTTATGCTAACACAAGATATGTTGTGAAGATGATATATATCTGCCAACCCCTTCTTGGTACATCACCCACAAAGGGTGATAACTTGCGAAGCAAGTCAGCGATTCTTTACAACTTGCTATATCTAAAAATTTCTCTCAACCAGAAACCTGAAATGAATATGAAATTTATGATTGGATAAACATTTTCGATTTTCCTGTAATTTTTCCCAAACTAATATTTTTATCTGTATTACATGAAGTATGAAAATGGAATATTTCGGTCGACTATATCTGGTACCTAACGCACATTTTCATTATTTTTTAGAAATTATCGCATATCTGATATAAACTGAAGGAAGTAGTCGATATGCTCGAAACCTAATATTTCGCAATATTTGTATTTGTCATACTTATTTATGTCCGATACGAAATGGTTCCTTCGGAACCTACTCCACAAAGAGACAACAATTTAAATAACTATAAAGGGTGAGATAAAAAAACTGCATCAAAGTCAAACTCCATAATTTTTATTTTTTTTTTTTTTTAATTTTCATTGAATAAAAGCAAAAAATGTCGGAAATAGCATCACATTTTAGAATAAGTTTAGATTTGTTCGAATTGGTCACCTTTGGCACGAATTATGCCCTCGAAACGGCCAATGAAAGCCGAATGCACGCTGCCCGAATGCCGCTCTGCGGTATTTTGGTCCATTCCCGGCGAAGCGCTTGCTAGATGCGATCGACACTTTGATATTTTTTTAGTGCCAACCTTGCTCTCCAAAATAATCCATACACAATAGTCCAACGGAATGGTATCCGGAGAATTTGGTGGTGGTGCGCTGGAAATGAAACGAGGAACCTCATTTTGTAACCATTCTTGGGTGCTGAGTGCGATGGTACTGAGTCCTCTTGGTCTGCGGCCAAAATGTTTGCGTGCCCAAGGCTTTAATACAACCTCCAGAATAGTATAAGGCTTTAATACAACCTTCAGAATATTTCCGCGATAATATTCGGTATTTATTCTGATGCCGCGGTCGATTAATTCGAGCGGAGAGCGATCATCGGCTGCTATTGCGGTCCACACCATCACCATGGCCGGTGCTTGAGTTATGGTGGCCAATCGAAGGTGCACATTTTCAGCTGACCTCTTTGGCAAGTAAACACGATAATTTTGTTTCTTTACAAACTGCTGGACAACGAATGTTTTCTCATCGGAGAAAACCAAATTCGGCAGTTCACCACTTTCGGCCAAGCGAAGCAACTCTTTAGCTCTTTTGAGCCTATTTTCCTTCGGGTGCGGTGTAAGTTCTTGCATTTTTTTAAATTTCCCCGAGCTCATTTTTCAATATTTGCCGAATGGAATATGTGATATGTTCATCTCAGGAGCCATTTTTCGGCCACTGCGACGGGGGTTTCGATCAAGTCTTTACTTTTCGAACCATTTCTGCTGAGGTTGCTGTTTTCTTCCGTCCATTTCCTTGACGTCGGCCTACGCTGCCAGTATCACGGTAACGAGCGAAGGTACGAGACACAAAAGATTTATTCGCATTTAAATGCTGGAGTGCTCTAACGATAGTCAACTGTGATTTTCCAGCCAAACATAAAGAAATCTCACAATCACGCTTGATTTCCATCACGAATAGCTTTTTTCTGGAAAATTCTCACCAAAATGCTTTTCTACGCTTGTAAACAATATAATGAACTGTCATCGGAATAATTTTGAACAGCTGTCGGACGAGTGGCTTAGAAATGACATCAGTCTGAAGTTAGTTGCAGTAATTTATCTCACCCTGTATTTCCCCCACAAAAATTTCGAAAAATCCATCTCTACCTATTACGTTGTAAGCGCCCGCTTTTGTATGTCGATTGCGAACGAAAGATCCTTTTCGAAATGTGTTTTTGCAAATTTTGAATTTTTTAATATAAAAAATATATACGGATTTGAGTTTTTCTCTCATATTTATATTCGTATCATCATACAGGAGCAGCCCCTAAATTCCTATTCCTCCCCAATACTAACTAATTGCCAACAAATATAGAACCACCAACGTCCAATTAATGATTAATGGTCCTATGGGACAATAACCCGGTCTATTGATATATCAATTGTTCATCAAACCGAATTTCCTTATAAACATGGCTTCTCAAAATACCTATATATGCTTCTGATTCTCTTCCGTTAAACTTCTTGAAGAGCTTTGGGCCTCCACTATATATTTATTATCCAACAAAATTGACTATTCTACAAAGAATTTTAACAATTTCCACCTACCTAGAGAGTAGATTGCAACCAACAAATTGCTGATAATTTTAGTGGCACATTTTGTGCCTCCTTATTCCCTTAGCCATGAATGGCCGATGAGAAGTTTCAAGTGGAGCAGTCGACCGACATTCTTTTGTTCAACTTTATTATGAAACTATTGTCAGTTTTGGCGGAAATTTCTTTAGAGGGGAGAAAGGGGGGGTGCAAAACCAAACGGACAATTGCAACGGTTGTCCGGCTGGAATTCAACACCGACACCAACAACAATGACTCGTCTGATGAGTCTCGTCTCGTGTTCGGCTGTCGTTGTGAGCATTTCAATTTGGCCACAAAAATGTCTAACAATTGTATTACATTATTCCATGCGGAGGACTGGCCGAAGATATTTTTTATATGTCAAATTGAGGGGAGGGGGACTGGAGCGGGTGAGGAGATGCTTGCACCGAATGAGAGAAAAATAGACACAAATCTATGTGCATGTTTTTTTCGTTCGTTGCAATTGTTTCATAAATTTCTTTTTTTTTTCACTTTTTTTGGTCATTTCTTGGTGCAACAACCCGGAGTGCCGCAATCATTTGTTACCCAACAATATGTCCAAGAAGGACCAATGACACCATCATCTGTTGTCCAGTTCGGCGAGATAGAAAGATAGATAGGAAGAATACACATGTTAGGAGGTCGGTTTAGCTGGGCTTGTGTGCAATTGTCCAATGTGCCTAACAAAGCGTGTATGTTTGTAGTGGCACTTGTATCCTACCTACCCTACCCTACCTCCCTCACCCGCTCCCACACCGGATTGAATATGAATACGGGAGCGAGCGGTTGAATGAACGTACAAATGAATGAATGAATGGATGGTTGGTTGGCCGAATGAAGGCAACTATGCATGAATGAACGAATGAGTATGGTCTTCAAAATGGAATACAAGTATTATCCAGTGTCCATGTCTGGTCAAACTACAATGTTATCTGGCAATGAGTTGTGGTGGCCACTGGGTGTTTGGAACTAGTGGACAGGGATGAAATAAATATATAAAAATGTTAACTTATGACGAATTATGTACCAGTGAAACCTTGACAGTGGTATGAGCCGAATAATCCCTTACAAGGTAATGCAAACAAACCACCTTCTGCATTATTAGAAGTTTTAAAGCAATTGATTATTCATTCCTTTATAAAACGCAGAGCAATGCTTATTTTCCTCATTACCAAGTAATTAGTAACACCTACTGAAGGTCGTGAGTTCGAGAGTAGGTTATGGCCACGGAAAGAAAAAAGCAAGTTAAAAAGTATCAGTCGGTTTTGCGGACAGATGTACACCTTCAGCCAATGCCCGAGTCTCAAATATATTTTGATTTGAGTTATGATTTTTTCAAAATCTTGACCCGTTTTGGGTGCAACCAACTTCAGGTTGCTGTCATTTCTAAGCCACTCGTCCGACAGCTGTTAAAATTATACCAGTGACAGCTCATTATATTGCTTACAAGCGTACAAAAGCATTTTGGTCAGAATTTTCCATAAAAAAGTTATTCGTGATGGAATTCAAGCGTGTTAGTATATTTGACTGGAAAACAACAAGTGGCTTCGTTAGAACACTCCAGCATTTAAATGCGGATAAATCTTTTGTGTCTTGTACCATCGCTCGTTACCCTGATACTGTTGGTGTAGCCTGACTTCAAGGAAGTGGACGAAAGAAAACAGCAACATCAGCAGAAAAGGTTCGAAAAGTAAAGAAGCGACTTGA